TTAAAAGATAAAACTTTTATGTAAACGTTAGTTTTCTGTTTCTTTCCCCCAGTTTTATTAACTGGTAATAGCTTTAAATAGACCTTGTGTACTAATTGATAGTCAAACTAAAGAACAAGAAAGAAGGAAGAAAGGAAGATGTTGCTTTTTTATTTTTATTTTATTTTATGTGTATGTGTGTTTTGCCTGCATGTAGGTAAGTGCACCCGTGTCGTGCAATGCCTGCAGAGGACAGAGAGGCCGTCAGATCCCCTGGAACTGGAGTTGCAGACAGTTGTTAGCTGCCGTGTGGGTACTGGGATTCGAACACAGGTTTTCTACAAGAACAGCCAGTGTTTTTAACCGCTGAGCCATCTCTCCAGCCCCAGAACAGTGTTACTTTTAAAGTTATTTAAACTGGCCGGGTATGGTGGTGCATGCCTTTAATCCCAGCACTTGGGAGGCAGAGGCAGGTGGATCTTTGTGAGTTCAAGGCCAGCCTGGTCTACATAGTGAGTTCCAGGACAGCTGGGGCTACACAGAGACCCTGTCTCAAAAAAAACCCTCCCTCCAAAAAATAAGTTATTTAAACTATCCCTTCCTGTGAACCTGGAGCCTGGGTCCCCTTCCCATGAACCCTGAAGCTGTGGTCCTCTCATATGAGCCTGGAGCTTTGGTCCCCAACTGTGAGCCATGGTTCCACATTCCTCTGGTGGTAGGCTGATGGTGGAGCAGAGTGGAGGATGGAGAACTTCTGATGTTGGACAGCAGTTTCAGCTTTCTGTGAATTCCCCACATCTCCCTCCCCTGAGGTTCCAGGTCATGCATGGCAGTTGCTTTGCCTCTTATGCTGGGACGGGGGAGGTCTCTTGTCATTTGCAGTTTCTGGTCTTGGGGGAGCTCATCTCTAGAATGGACTCTCCTCCCTTATTTGAGGGCTAACTATGGTTTTCACTCCACACATGGTCCTGGGCATCCAGGCCTTGATGTTTGCTGTACCTCTCCCATTACCAGGCACCAAGAGGTTTTCCATTATTTTTCTATTACTCTTCTACAGCCCAAGTATGTCTTCACCTGTGCCCTATGGAAAATGTAAAACATCTAATTGGACGAGAGGTAAAAAAAAAAGGGACTAGGAAGTACTATAATAACTAAATTGATCTAATTCTCAAACTAAAATATGTAATTGTGTTTTAGAATGCAAATTCGCTATCCTATGTCTGTTATTTTTTATTTATAGACAATACTGTAGTACCAAGCTTCAACAATAATGTGAAATTTGTTACTGTTACTATGTGTTTACCATTCACTCCCTTTCCAAATTCTCCAACCTGTACAAGGCCTTTCAATGTAATCATGTTATTTCTTAAAGCAATGCTAATATTTTAAATTTTTTTAAAGTTATTTTTAAACTACAAGGTGGTTTCATGAATTAATTGATGCCAAGGTGAGTTGCTGATTTGCTCTTTCTGAACTGCATGAATCAGTTAACTGTTACAAGGTATGTAAAGATCAAAGAATCCAGACCATTTCCTGGCAGGAAATTAGCTATTATCACATTCAGAGTTTGTAAATTGCTATACTGCTTAAATAAAAATACTGGGGGGGGGGGGTACTCTGAGGAATTAAACACATGGTCCTATACCTGCTAGGCAAGTGTCCTATGACTGAGGTACATCCTCAGCCCTGTAAATGTCTTAATTTATACCTTTCATAAGGAAATTTAAGTTCAATATAACATTTAGTTTTATTGTATGCACACATATACATCCTGCTCGCTTTCCAATTACCATGAATTTAAAACTTGTATCAAAAATCATGTTAGGCATTAGCCACTGGATCTTTGCTCATCATTTTATCTGGCTGGAGCTACAAATTCTTTGCTTGCTGTTCTCTTTCAAAGTCATTGGGTTGCTGGTAGAATGTGGGTCTTGTGGCATTCCCCCATTTTCTTGCTGTCACCTGGTAACTGCTGCTGCTTCTAGAAGCTTCCCTCATTTCCCTGCCATGTGGCTCCCTTCTCATACCTTCTCACAGTACAGCCCCTACTTTGAAGGGCCATCAGGAAACATCAGAATGGCTTGGTTCCTTTTTTAAGAGCATTCTCTGATTAAGTCAGCCCCATTCCAGATAATCTCCCTCTTGATTAACTTAAAACCAACTCTTGGAATCTTGATTACTCTGAAAATCTCCCACTTTGAAATATTTTTAAGCTAATCAATAGAATGAAATCTGCAGTGTTTATATGGTCCTGCCCTGTCGCAGGGGTAGGGGTTATCCAGAGATGATACATACAGGGATAATATTATTACCATCAGTGAGAATTTATGGTGACACCTTAGGAAGTCCACTTCTCATATAACATACACAAAATGTGTGAGCTTACTGTAGGGATGTGTGTGTGTGTGCTGGTTTTGATCAAGCCTATCTGCCTTTGTCACAGACATTAAGATTTTCCTACAACTTCCATTATGTGGTATGTGGTATAAATGAAATTTCCAATTAAAGAAACTTATGAATAGAAGATATGCTTGATAGTCATTAATGACAGCAGGGACAGAGTTGCCAAATATTTTCTTTTCTTTTTTTTTTTTTTTTTTTCCTTTAAGACAGGGTCTCCCTGTAGCCCCAGCTGACCTAGAACTTGTTATGTAAACTAGACTAGCTTTGATCTCAGTGGTCCATGTGCTACCAGACCTAGTGGTAATCTTAAATTTTAAAGCAAAGAGGGTAAAGCTGACCCTTTGATTTCGGTTTTTCCAGCCCTCTATTTGTACTTGTGATTTATAAGACTGGGCATGATTATTGAAGGGAAAGCATAAGAGGATTATAGTACAAAAGGGCTGGACAGATGGCTCAGCGGTTAAGAGCACTGATTGCTCTTGCGTAGGACCTGGGCTCAATTCTCAGCACCCACATAATGGCTAACAACTGTCCATAACTCCAGTTCCAGTTTGATGCCCTCTTCTGACCTCTACAGGCATTTCATGACACTGGTGCACATGCAGGCAATACATGCATTCACATAAAATATTAAAAAATAAACCTATAAAAAGAACAGATTGGGAGAGTGCTTGTGGATTGGTGAAAGCACTCCTTATTGGGTGAAGATTAGAAATGTCAAATACACCTTGTACCTATTTTTCTTGTTTTGAGACAGGGTCTTGCTGTTACATAGCCTGGGCTGGCCTTGAATTTGTAGCAGTCCTCCTGTTCCGCCTCAATTTAGATATGTTCTAGTTATTGACTGTTTTATAGCATATAAATATTATAATTGGCCGTTTGCATCTGTTTTGTCTTAGTTTTTCTTTGCATTTATTTATTTACTTATATATAATATAATATTTATGATTTCTCTTTCAATGTGGATTCTGGGGATCAATCTCACCTTTATTCATTGAACCATCTTGCTGTCCTTGTCTTGCTTTTTAAATTAGAATAAGCTCATTAAGGGTGGGATCTATATTTTATCTTTACATCATCTTTTCATGTAACTCTTGGCTTTGGGGAGATAGTAAATATTTATTTAGCAATGCATACTTGATAGTGGTAAAGGACATTAGCACATTTGTGTTTGTCATACAGAGATAAACTTTAGTTTATATTCAGAATTTTTGTGTAATAAATTCTATTTTCTTTAACTTCAAGTGTGTGGGGGGGTCACCTTTGGAAGTATTTTATTTTTACCAGTGGGTAGGCTTATCTGTTTACCAGGTTCATAAGAAACCAACAAAAAGTTAAAAAAGTACTAGAGCTGATCACAGCATGGCTGTAAATATATGACATTCAATTTCACGATGTCTCTGCTTTCCTATATAGTTTTTTTCATACTGAAAATTTTGCGAAATTTCCTTACACTGTTGTATTGTCAGTTACTAGAATATAGCACTTAGTGCCTGCCTGCTGCTATTAAAGTGCTTAACACTAAACAGTAATTTACTTTTTTCTTTCCTTTCCCCTTTCCCTTCCCTCTTGTATAGCATATACTTCTTGAAGATAGAGAGCTGTGCCTTTCTTGTTTGCTGCCTGTCACCAAATAGACTCTTGAATCTAGACTGAGTGAATGAACAAGGTGGTGAAGTTCTAAAACCAGTGTTAAAGCATGGGTTTCTTTTTTATTTATTTATTTTTTATTCTTATATTTTAGTGTAGGGGCAAATAAGTCCTTGAACCTGAAGCCCCAAGGAGAATTTCACTGTCATAGCATAGAAGAGTGATGTTCATGGATTTTAAAATGTCATAAATTAAGTAGCATTTCCATAGAAGTTCAAAGAGATTTAACCCAAAATCTAGTATTTAAAAGCTTCAGTCATTTACTTTCAGGCTTGATTTCTCTGGAAAGTCACTCGTGTGTTGCTGTTTGGCCTTTTGTTGAGATTTTTGTTTACGTCTTGTGACAGGGTCTTGATATGTAATGTAGCCCAGGCTGGCTTAGAGCTTGCCTCAGCAATGGATGTCACTAAGGTTTGTTGAATTGAGTAGAAATGTTCCTAGTTACACATAAAGTTGTTGTATGCTATATATTGTACAATCATATGTATGAAACCTACAGAAAGTTTACCACAATATTGCCAGCTCTTCTCTTTCTCTGCATGGTCCCTTGAAAAGTCAACTAAAAGTTATTACAAAAGTACATTGAGAAAAAGTACAGTCCAGGCAGACATTCACCATTCTGTACTTAGGATATGTGGTTTTATCGCAGATTTTCTTTTCATGAAGTCTGACCTTTAGAATTTAGAAGACACCTACCAAAAAAGATACCAGTGGATATTCGGGAAACAAGAAGGACTTAGGTTCTTGAGCTGTAGTGTTTTGCCTCAAAATCCATTTCCAAAGGCAATTTCTGCCTCCTGCATGTTTTGATGTTTAAAATTTGGTTTGGCTTTTTGTTTTTTTTCCCCCCTAATCTCTGCTGACAGAATTATCAAATACTAGAAAACGCACTGTCCTTCACAGGCTTGGTTCTCCATATTGGTATGGCTAGCCATGAACTATCCTTTTCTTCTCCCTCTTTTTCCCAGATATCTCCCGGGTCCAATTCAGCACCTCTACCTGGCCATCCTAACAAGGTGATTTGTGAAAGGGTGAGACTTCAGAGCCTGTTCCCTCTTCTCCCAAGTGATCAGAACACTACCGTTCAAGAGGATGCTCACTTCAAAGCTTTCTTCCAGGTTCTTATATATTTACCCTTTCCCTACACAGGGCTGAAAGTCACAGATACATTCTGGCTTGTTTCTAGTAAGGCTTAAAACAGACTTCTCTGTCTTCTTCATGTTTTCTATTGTATGTGAGAATAACCATTCTTAGAGGACTTCTTCAATATAACTTTCAGCCAGCTTTTCTGAAGAATGTGTCTTCTCTTGAGCTACCATTAACTGACCATTCAATATTCTTTTTTATAGAATCTTTTTGTCTTAATCATTTGTCCTAATTATTCAAGTTCTGTAGGAAAGTAGAAGATATGTGAGGTGTATAGGAAAGGAAAAATGAACACATATATATTTTTAAAGCCAATGCCACTAATTTCCTTAGTGTCCAGAATTTTATAGTAATATATATATTTCTGAGAGAATACGTAGTTATTGGTGTCTGCATTTTGGTACCTGTAGGTAAAATGTTATTTGGATTATTAATAAGGTTACTAGGATCGACTCATAAATGACTGGCTACTAAACTTTGAATCCATATTCCTAGAAAAGCATGTTTTTGTACTGAAAGTCAGTATTACTAATTATTACTACAGAATTGCTTTTGGATGGTAGGCTTGTGAGCTCAGGCATGTATATGTATATATAAAATCTGCCTGAGGTATTGAAATAGCTGATAACCAAGACTAGATGTTTTAGGTAGAAGCAGTTCATTTTCTCTCTGTCTGGAAATGACAGGTTGGGGCCCAGAATTAGTTTGGCATGTGATATTTCTGAGTATAGCTGTAGATGATCCAGAGCTCTTCAGTCTGGTATTCCTTTTGAAATTTGTGCTGAATTCTCTGTTATGCTTGGATTAGGTTTGTGGTGTTTGTTTGTTTGTTTGTTTGTTTGTTTGTTTGTTTTGAGATGCAGTTTTGCTATGTAGACCTGGTTGCCCTAGATCTGTGGTGTAGACCAGGCTGGCCTCTAACAGAAATCCACCTACCTCTGCCTCCAGAGTGCTATGATTAAAGGCATGTACCACTATGCCCTGCCATTGTTTTTAACCCAAAAAATAAAGTAGGCATCTTATTCTAGGTGAGGAAATAGGCTTTACGAAGTTCAGTGAAGGGGCTGGCGAGATGGCTCAGCAGTTAACAGCATTGGCTGCTCTTGCTGAGGACTCAGGTTCAGTTCTCAGCACCCACGTGATGGCTGATAGTCATCTATAACTCCAATTTGGAGACCCAACACCACCTTCTGGCTTCCACAGGCATCTCACACACGGGGTGCACTTTCATATGTGCAGGCAAAACACTTAGGCACATTTAAAAAAAAAAAAATTAAGTTCACCGAAATGCCCAATTTTATCTAGTTATTGATAGAGCAGGAACTGGTTTCTAGCTTTATCTGTATCATGGTTACTCTATCATACTATCATTAAATATCAACATATTTCTGAAAATGTTTTGCAAATACTTAACTCTGACTGGTGGCGTAGTTGTCTGTTGAATTGAATGGCATTTTGATTTCAGCATTATCTGCACATGGTAACTCAATCAATTTAGTGATGACTGTAATTAAAAAAGACAATACACTTCTGCCACCAGTAAACAGATATTTTTTATTTTCCGTGTTCTTTGTATTCGCTTTGAGCCTCAGGAATTAACTCAGTATTAGCTTTAAACTTACAAAATAGCTACCAAATGCAGTAGATTAAACCCATGTTTTAAAAATGAAATGATATGGTTAGAGCCAGTTAATTGTATTTGATGGTTTTCTTTTTGTGAGTGTTTGGGTTTTGGTTTGGGATATTGACAATTGAACCCAGCGCTTCACTCATGCTAGGCATATGCTTTATCCCTGGGTCTTAATGAAAAGTGAAGTGTTTTAATTTTGTTCATAATGTTAGCTTGTCTTTCCTCTAACTTTAGAACAAGGCTTCCCTCACTATACGTTTCTTGCAGTTACTGCCTTGGAGCTGTTCTGAATGGAAAAGTAAATCTCCCCCCCCCCCAAAAAAAATCCTTAAAAATACTGATTCTCATGTCAGAATTGGGTGTGATTTGTTAATTTCAGCCATACTTAGCACCCACAACAACCTGGTTATCAGTCCAGAGAGATGGCTTAGCAGTTAGGAGTGCTTCCTGCTCTATCATGAAGACCAGTGTTTGGATCCCAGCACCCACTTCAGGAAGCTCACAAACACCTGTAACTCCAACTACAAGGGATCCAAAGCCCTATTCTGGCCTTTGAGGGTACCTGCCATATACTTCACACAGAAACATACGTAAATAAATATAAAATCCTTTTTTTAAAACCTAGCTATCACATGAAAAGGAAAACCTACCAAGCCATCTATATTCTTAGAAAGTCCTTCCCTTATGTGTTCTTTCTCTTTTAAAATTTTTATTTGTTTTAATTTTACATGTATGAGTGTTTGACCTGCATGTATATAAGTACACTTGTGTATGTGATGCCAACAGAGGCCAGAAGAAGGGCTTCTGATTCCCTGGAACTGGAGCTACGGTTTTTGAGACCAGGAACTTATGTAGCCCTGACTGGCCTGGAACGTGCTGTGTATATCAGGCTAACCTCAAATTTGTGGATGAGCCTCCTACCTCTGCTCCTCAGGTGCTGAGATTATAGACGCGAACCATCATTTCCTGCTCCTTTTAGAAATAGTAGACTTACCTATCTCGTATTTTCTTCTGTTTGTTTGTGGTACTAGAAACTCAACACAGGCTCTTCTTGTGCATGCCAGGCAAGCACTCCACTGCTGGGCTACAGCTCCAGCCTCATTTTATTTTTCATTTTGAGATGGGATCTCAATAAGTTGCCTGTTCTGGCCTTGAATTCTCTCTGTAGCCCAGAGTGACCTTGAATGTGTGATTCCCTCTACCTTAGCTGGTATTCCCCCCACACACACATCGCAGGCATGAAGTTGGACATAAGGCTCATTAGAATAGTCATGGAGGAAAAAGTACTAATCTCCTTTATCCTTACTGTTATTTCTGACTAGTAGTCTTTTATGTATGTGGGTGGGTGTAGGCATGCATTTATGTGTGCTTGCCTGTGTGTGAGAGTGTATATGTATGGTACAGACAGTCTAAAGGACAACCAAGAAGTTACTCTTTTGGAACCACCCACCTTTTGTTTTGTTTTGTTTTGTTTTGTTTTTGAGTTTTTTTCTCACCAGTCTAGAACAAAGTAGGCTAGGCTGGCTTGGCTTCCCCAGGCTTTCCTTACCTCCTCAGTACCCAAATCACAAACATGTGCATGTGCTTCATGCCATTTGCTTGCTTGCTTATTTGTTTTAAAGTGGGTTCTAGGGATCAAGACAGGTCTTCATGCTTTAGATGCTTTACTAAGATATCTTTTCAGCCCCTGAACTATCTTGAGCTTTTTGCAAATACATACAGATATGGAACCACCACACTTACATACAGATTTCTCTCTGCTTTCACCCCTCCTTAGTTTTAAAATTAGCAGTTTCTTTACTGTCAACTAATTCAGTGATTCTGGTTGAAAATTATGTGCTTCATGAGAATCTTGAATTTCATGGCTGGCATGGACACTGATTTTGTAGATATTTATTATATCTTTTTTGGGGAGGGGTTGAGATAGTCTAATTTTCCAACTATTGATATATGTTTATAAGTTGAATTTTATTAATGTGTGTATGTTTGTGGTGAGAATGCGTGCTGTGACATATATGCTTGTGGACATCAGAGGACAATTCTGTGGAGTCATTTTCTCCTTCCACCTTTACATGGGGTCCCTAGCTCAAATTCAGGTTGTCAGGTTTGGATGGCAAGCACCTTTATCTGATGAACCATTTTACCAACGCTTTTTGTAGCTTAAAAATATAGTAGCTGATGGGGCTGGAAAGATGACTCAGCAGTTAAGAACACTTGCTGCTCAGTCATTAGGACCTCAGTTTGGATCTCTGCATCTATACGGGGTGGCGTACAAAGGCCTGTAACTCCAGTTCCAAGGGATGTAGCACCCATATACACTTATACAGACTAACAAGCACATATATACACATAATACATTTTTATATAAGAACTGAATAGGATCTAGTAATGGAATAGAATCAGGTGGAGCTAAAGATAGTAATTAAAAGCCATATAATTATTGTATCAAGTAAAGTTTTTTTGTTTTTGAGACAGGGTCTCACTGTATAGCCTTGGCTGGTCTGGAACTCACTTTGTAGACCAATCTGGCCTCAAGACTCACAGAGATCCACCTGTTTCTGCCTCCCAAGTGCTGGGATTAAAGGTGTATGCCAAATATGCTCAGCCCTAAAACAATCTTTCTAAACCAGTGATGTTTTGTGTAATTAACGATGGGAGGAAACCTAGACCAACATAACATCACTAATGGATACTGGTCAAAAAACTAGCTACATAAGTCTTCCCTAGATCTTAGAAGAAGACCATTTTGTAGCTTATATATTCTGTTAGACTAACAATGATAGCACAACTGTAATAGGGCACCAAGGTGTCACAGTGTTTTATCTTACTATGATGGAGTTACTTATTTCCTTGGGTTTTCACAGCGGGGGGCGGGAACCCTAGATCATACATATCTTTTTAAGTAAAATTGTGCTGAGCATGCTTGTGCTTGGCCTGTAATCCCATCACTGAGACAGAAGGAGGATCACACTTGAGGCCAGACTGGGCTATGTTGCAAGACCCTGTCTCAAACAAACAAAATTCTGAGTTTGTTTCTATTTGCTTGAGATAACTTTGGGGGAGGCTGGGTGTTAAACCTCTTTTCCCAAAGTAGATTGTTTGCTACAAGATTTTAAAAATTTTTATTTATTTATTGATTGATTGATTGTTCTTATTGAGACAAGATTTTCCTGTAGCCCCAGCTGACCTGGAACTCACTATGTAGACCAGTTTGGCCTTGAACACACAGAGATCAGAATGCTGGGATTAAAGGCATGTACCACCACACCCGGCTAATGAAATCTTTTTTATTCAGGTATATCAGCTGTACGTAGAAACATGAATACCAAGTGAAACAGAATG